GACACATCTTTTGTATGAACAGACACTTTTACTGCACGAACAGACACATTGACTGCACGTACAGACACATCTCTGCATGAATAGGCATGACTTGCTCATCCCCTAGATGAACAGATGTGACCCAAATATTTAGATTTTGCAACTGTTCGTCCAGGGGCACAACTGTGACCTTTGACAATGTCTTTTGCTTTAGTTTAGAATGTGACCTTTGACCCAGAGAAAATGTCTTTTAATCTGTTTTCACGAATTGGGCTCTGGGCGAGGGACCCTAATATGCTGCTTTCGTCAAACAGGGGCTGAATCGGGTAAAGGCCCTTTTACTCTCGCCGGCCTAGATTCGAAGTCCTCTGAGAAAACGTTTACCTATCAATAATACTTATTCCTCTCTTAGCTCTTTCATAGGCAGATACAATATGAGGCGCAGACTCAAGTAAATCTTCTTTTGTACACCAGCGGTCTTCACTTGGGTTTTGGTAGGCGAATCTTACTTTATACTGTCGCTGGGGTCTGCCTCTTCGTCCGGTTTGGAAAGTGCTTTCAGCAACAATCTTATCCACGTCATATTTCCCATCCATACTAGGAGGTATCGCTGATCTGCGACTGGGAAACAACTCATTTGTCACGCAAGGTAGAAGCTTTGAGGCGTGAAACACTGGATACATATGCAAATGTAGAGGAATCTCTACTACGTAAGAAGGTCCATCTACTTCTCCAATCACATCAAGAATTTGCCAAGGTCCTCTGTAGGCTGGTAGTAGCTTCTGAGAAATGTTCTCCTCAGGTGCAAATTCTTTGGACTTAACCCACACCAGATCACCTACAACGAATTGAGATGGTCTTCTATGCTTATTTGCCTGTTCTATCATTTGGTGTTGTGCTTTCACTATATTTTCTTTTACCTTTTCAATATCTTTATGATACTGAATCGCAAACTCACTTGTTCCTAGAGGAAGCCTATACACTTGATCCGGATTTAAGCGATCAATGGGTCTACGAGGTCGCCATCCCAAATGCAGTTCCATCGAGGTCCTGCATGTAGATAGGTGAACAAAGTTGTTATAGACACTAGCAACTTTGGGCAAGTGTTCATCCCAATCAATTTCGTCGGGAAGGATGTACATGCGCAATGTCTGCTGCAAAATCTTATTCATTTGCTCAGTCTGGCCGTCTGTTTCAGGGTGCCTACCTGATGACATAGTTAACTTAGAGCTATAGACATTCATGAGTTGTTGCCATTGTTCACTTGTGAAACGTGAATCTCTGTCACTGACAATCGTTAAGGGATGTCCATAATCTTTTACCTAGTGGTTAAAGAACTCCCGGATAACTAATTCGGTCTTTGCTTCCGCTAGTAATGCTACGAATACAACATATTTACTAAATCTTTCAACAATAACCATGACTTGCGTCTTTCCATTCCTGCTTTTTACCTTGGTATCCATAAAGTCAATGGGTACAGAGTCTCCTGGACCTGTTGGAATTGGCAAGGGCTTTAGTAGTCCGAGGGGAGGTTGCGTTGTGCTCTTGTTTCTTTGGCAGACTTGGCAACCTTGCACATAGGCAATGCAATCAGCTTTCATGCGAGGCCATGTATAAGTACGTAACAGGCCTGCATAAGTCTTCTTCCAGCCGAAATGGCCTTCAGTATCATGACACTCCCCCAAGATCAAGTTTTTGATCTCTTCCACATTTGGAACGCAAAGCCTGTCATGCACATCTGTTTGTTCAAACAACAGTCCTTGTGTAACTCAGTAGTTAGGAAACTCTTGTGGCGCTTCTTGCACACGCTTGATCATAGCGCCATAGACAGGATCTGTGGAATACGCATTCCTAATTTTATCTTGCAGGTCGGTGCCCATATCTAAGTATGTCACCACGGCACCGAAAAAGTCAGATCTTCGACTTAATGCGTCAGCAACAACGTTGTACTTACCCTTGACTGGCTTTAACTCAAAGTCATATTGGTCGATTTCAGCGGCCCACCTAGTCAACTTGGGTGTCATCCGCACTTGCATTTTGAGCCAACGAAGTGTCTCATGATCGGAGTACACTTTGAAGTGTCTTCCTAGGAGATAGTGTCGCCAATGATCAAGAGTTTCTCTGAGAGCATACAACTCCCTCTCATATGTGAAAGCGGCGACCTTCTCATTAGGCAGTTGTCGGGACATAAACTCAAGAGGTCGGTACCCATTTCCATCATCTTTTTGGAGTACCGCACCTATCCCATACTGACTGGCGTCGATTGTGACGACAAAGGGCAAAGAAGGATCAACGACCTTCAGAACTGGATAGTTAATTAGATATTTCTTTAGGCGTTTGAATGAAGCCGTGCAGTCTGAATCCCACTTCCAGATAGTTTCTTTCTTAAGCAATCTGCGAAGGGGTGCAACAATTACCGTGAAGTGCTTAACGAACTTCCGATAATAGTTGGCTATCCCAAGGAATGACCGCAACTCAGTCAAAGTGCGGGGGTTTGGCCAATCTCTAATGGCTGCAATTTTTGAATCTTCCGGTTTGATACCATCACCATCAAGCACATGCCCTAGATACAAAACCTGACGCTTAGCCCAATCACACTTCTTCGGGTTTAACTTCAATTTTGCTTCACGCAACTTATTTAGCACGAAGGTGCTCGCAATGTTCACTCTTGCTAAAAATCAAAATATCATCAAGATATATAACGACAAATTTATCAAGCCATTCACGGAAAAGCTCATTCATGGTTCTTTGGAAAGTTGCACGTGCAATCGTAAGACCAAAGGGCAACACCACAAACTCATAATGCCCATACCTTGTTCGAAAGGCAGTCTTGTATTGGTCTTCTGGCTCTACCTCAATCTGATGATAGCTAGATTTCAGATCAATCTTAGTGAAGTACTTGCTACCTTGCACTCGATCCAACAAATCGTATATTCTTGGTAATGGCTCGACATTTTTAACGGTCATATCATCAAGTCTTCTATAATCTATACACATGCGTACCCCTTCATCTTTCTTTGGTACAAACAGTACAGGCGCACCGTAGGGCGAGGAACTAGGTCTTATCCACCCCTTTTCCAGCAACTCATCAAGCTGGGTTCGCAGTTCATCAAACTCTTTCGGTAACATCCTATAGATAGGTCCTTTAGGAATCGAACTTCCTGGTATAATTTCGATGCGATGTTTAATGGGTTGTTCTACCACACCGCTTGGGGACTCTGCCACGTCTGCGAACTCTTTCAAAATCTTTTCAATTTCAGGGGATTTTGCCTCTCCTTTAACTTCACCCTCCTTTACTGAGCGCACATATGCAACGAAAACTTTATCATACAAATTATACTTTTCCACATGGCGAGCGAACGCAGGGGCACTCATACAACAATGAGCTTAGCTGCTTTCCTTACCTGATTCATGAAAGAGGCGAATTTTCTTCTTTCCACCTTGCGGACTAGGGAGCCAACACTCATGGTCCCGCATCTTTATATCCGCATTTGCAGCTTCACCCCAATCCATACCTAGGAGAATGTCAAAGGGAAGATTATCTTCCACCAAGAGAGTCAGAGAGTGGAGAACGCGTTCCACCTTCCCCTCCGCTTCGAGTCGGAAGTATACCTAGACCCCTTCAACATACTTATCCATTACAATCACTGTACTATTAACTAACTTACTTACTACGGACTGACCTAATTGCTTTACCTT